ACAGGCCGTAGCGCCAGCGAGAGCCGTACGAACTAAATAATAGCAATTGGTTGTCGGAACTACGTCGTGTCGATAATGTAACTATTCTTCTTTTCAATTTTCATCTCAAAACGTATTGGCCATTTACTAAATATCTAACGTTAACAAATAACATGTACGTGTATATATGTGTGTAATAAATAAAATTATAATGTCTTCGGTATATAGAAAAAACGTACATTGTAAAAGTTTCGTTTAAAAACTTATATACTATTATATATAGCAACTAAATAAACAATTATAGTTGATTATTATTATATTATATTATATCTATATATTTTGTGTATACACAAGTATATATATGTAGAAATAGAAACACATTTAAAAATGAATAGAGCAAACAGTGCTATAACAAATAAATATATGCCGAAAGTTGAATAAGCTTATGTTTAAATTAATGTATCATATGTATATAAGTAATTTTATATATTATCAAATTGTTTCACCGTCATATTTTTATATTAATAAAGTCTATTAATTTTGACATAAANTTATTCAACTTTCGGCATATATCTATTTGTTATAATCTTTGTTTTCTTACTTATGCACTGTTTGCCATATTTATTTTTTAATGTGTTTTTATTTCTACGTATATATAATTGTCCCACGCAGAACAAAAACTCCATTAGACGTCTATTAGACCGATTAGACGTCGACAGCTCCATGCGACATGTATAATAGATGTCTAACGGAATTCTGCATGGATGAATGTCTGTGTTGGGTGTATACACAAAATATATAGATATACTATAATATAATAATAATCTAATATAATTGTGTATTTAGTGGCTATATATAATAGTATATAATTTTTTAAACGAGACTTTTACAATGTACGTTTTTTCTATATACCGGAGACATTATAATTTTATTTATTACACACATATATAAACATACATGTTATTTGTTAACGTTAGATTAGATATTTAGTAAATGTCCAGTACGTTTTGAGAAGAAAATTGGAAAGAAGACTAGTTACAATATCGACACGACGTAGTTTCGAAGAACCAATTGCTATTATTTAGTTCATACGGCGCTCGCTGGCGCTACGAGCAACCGCCCCGCTTGCCCTCCAATCGTCGCGCAAATTCAGCGAAATTTTGACACCGTCTGTACACTCATGTAGTGTTGCACTCGTAGAGGTTATACTCATGGAGAGACCATGCGAGCGCAAGCCCGTTTTACATTGATCGCAAGCGCACACGCAAGGAACTGATCTCGTAGATGTGACCAATCACACTGGTCAATTGGCTGATTTGATCAATACGATTGGTCAATTCTACCAGACCTGTTTTTTGCGTTTGCGCTTGCGATCAATGTAGAACAGGCTTTATGGCCGTGGCCGCTCTCAGGCTTCTCTCTGGCGGTAGAGAGACACATGTCTATCCTTGTTTTAATTTGACTGTCTTAAAAGATGGCGCTACTTACGCGATAGTGTACCGGGTGACTAGCAGCCAGCGGTTAAGCATTATTGCTTTCGTTTATAATGCCTGAAATAGCGTGATCTCTCTGGACCGGCCCAATGGTCTCGCGGCCTGAGTGCAGGCACTGCGAATCTGGAGGTCCCGAGTTCGAATCCGCTCACCACCCTGGAGTGTGGTAAGGATTTTTTCCGGGCTGGTCCGTTTCAACCGAGTTTAACTTACTTGGTTTATCTATTTGTTGATCGCCGAACGGTGTGACACAATTCATATTCTGTTACTGTACAAATAGAATATTCAGTTAAAACATTTTTAGTTATATATTCGTTCAGAGATGTGGTTAACATTGTGAAGGAATTCATTTTTTTTCCATCAGAGACGAGCAATCGATATCGATCATTTGGTGGTTTTGTGCTCATACTTGGTAGCTTTTTGTAACCCTGAAAAATTACAAATTGACACATTTTATTACAAAACTAGAAAGTTTTTTGCAAAACTAGAAAGTAAAAATCTTTCTAACCTTAAGTTTGTTAAGTCAATAAAGTCAAATTATCCACATAACTATTTTCGAAAGTTTGATATAGTTATATAAAATATTTATACATGTACGATACCTACCAATATTTGCAGTATTGGGTTTTCTACATTTTTGCCGTCCATTATATTTTGAAAAAATTACATTGTCAGATCAATAATAGAATAAGTCGCAATAACAACACACCTTCGATAAAGATGTATTGTTATCTGTCATAAATTATATTACAGTCTGTCACAACACTTAGGGCGACGTCCCATTGAGCGGAAATCTATAGCGGAACGGAATATGCGGAACCAGCTCGACCAATCGTAACCACAGAAAAAGCGAAGGAAAGAAAACGGAATAGCTATGATTGGTCGAGCTGGTTCCGCACATTCCGTTTTGCTATAGATTTCCGCTCAATGGGACATCGCCCTTACGTCTAATGCTCCTTCTGTTAGCGTATACATGATGATAGTTAATAGATCTGAACAGATTTCTATTTCTACATATACAGGGTGTCCCAGAATTGCCGTACAATCGCTCGTAGGCAGATAGAAGGAGTAAAACTGAGTCGAAAAGTTTTGAACCATTTTTTTCTATTATTTATAATAAAGGAGTAATTATTGAGTAAATCAGGCCAATCAACGCAGACCTTTAGCCAGACGCACGTCAGTGAGCCGCGCGCCTGGTGTGTGTGAGCGCTCACTGACGTGTGCCTGGCTAAAGGTCTGGGCTAATTGGCCTGATTTACTCAATAATTACTCCTTTATTATAAATAATAGAAAAAAATGGTTCAGAACTTTTCGACTCAGTTTTACTCCTTCTATCTGCCTACGAGCGATTGTACGGCAATTCTGGGACACCCTGTATATAATTGTATACACAAAATATATAGATATAATATATAGATATAACATAATAATAATCTAGTATAATTGTATTTATTTAGTAGTTATATATAATATTATATAATTATTCAAACGAGACTTTTACGATATACGTTTCTTCCATATACCGGAGACATTATAATTTTATTTATTACACACATATATACATAATACATGTTAGTTGTTAACGTTAGATATTTGGTAAATGGCCAATAGGTAAATGGCCAATTTACCTTTTGAGAAAAGAAAATTGAAAAGAAGAGTAGCTACATTATCGACACGACGGAATTGTGAACAACCGACTACTATTTAGTTCGCACGCCGCTCACTGGCGCTACGAGCAACCACCCCGCCATCCCTTCAATCGCCGCGCATACTCCGCGAATTTTTGACCGCCGTCCGTACACGAGATTTTTTTTGCAACAAATAATGGTTCATGTTTTGTGTTCATGATATTAATTGTGAAATGTCATTAACTTATATACTTATGTATCTGTGTACATACGTGATTAACATCGCGCACTCGTTCCTAATCGACGAGATCACGGTAAAAGTGTTTCGCGGCAATTCGCGCTTCCGCGAAGCGCGCGCGAGAAACAAAATGGCCGACGCGCGACGCGAACGTTCGAATAATTTATTACATTTTCCGCGATTATTGTTCGTCTCGCGTGCCGTATAATATCGGTAGTGTGTGTATGTGTCGTTGATCGGCAACCGCGTTGTCTTTTGCCGCGTGTCAAACATTGCCGTGTCCTGTGCGCAAGAAGGAGAGAGAGAGAAACCACACTTTCCCAAAATATTGCGGTAACTTTGACCAAAGACGTTTTTCCTTCAACGACACTGTCGAATAGACGTAAGTGCGAAATTTCATCTCCATTAAAATTAATTGGTTACAATCTCATGAGAAATTAAAATTAAATCTTAAAAAAAAAAAACTATACGTTAGAACGTAGGAAATACAAAACAGGTTTGTTTTCAAAAAGCATTAATTACATTTGCGTGATACAATAATCTTTTATTAAATTTCACCTACAAACAACGAATCACAGAACGTTACATTAGAGTTCCTTACGTCAATCCATCATGTTTTCATATATTTTACAAGTAAATAATTATGTGTATATATATATATATATATGTATGTATATATATATATATATACATATACATATATATATATATATCTCTATTACAGTAAAGTCTTATTTGTTAAAATATCTCGTAGCTTGTAACGTGTGTGTGTGTGTGTGTCTGTGTCTGTGTATGAACCATATTGTGTACATGTAAATTTAAATTACCTAAAAATAGGATTTCTGTTGTAGTATCCATTCATTGTTTATAAGTGTCTGTTATCATGTATATATATAGAAGTGATATCATATCATAGGTACTTTTTTGTCCATTGTACTCTGAGAAATGTAATATCTTTTTCTTTTTATATATAATTACCATTATATCATTATTATTAACATTATTACTATTTTCCGCCGAGATATAATAATTGTTATTCGAAGTACGATAAAAGTCGCCACATACCAAAGAAATGGTTTGTTTGTTTGTTTGTTTGTTTTTTTTCTTTTTTGTTCTTTTCTCTCCTGATAAAATTACAAAATTCAATTCTTCGCAAACGATGCTCTGTATATGTATATGTATATGTAAAGGGCTTTTTTTAAGTACCTGGACAAAGTGACGGTATTTTACGATACAAATCGCTAGAACTTTTTATATGCATCTTTTTTTTTTTTTTTTTTGTTAGAAGGCAACATGTCTTTGTTAATACAAGAAGGCAATTTGCTTTGTATCATCGGTATGTATGGTGTCCCATATAAGAAACATTGATCGATCTGATAGCATTGCGTGTGCTTTGGCTCGGGCGATTCCGATCCAAGTGACAAATGCAAAAGGGACTGTTTTTTTTTTCTCAGGCATTTATTGGCAGCACTGGATCACTCTGTTCCAACGTATGTACTGTATATATATATATCGTATTTATACGATATAAATAGTACGATATATATATATATATATATCGTTTCATATATATCGTATATATATATATATATTTTTCGTTTCTCTTCGGAATAAACCCGAGGCTGTAGCGCGAAATCGGCCTGTGTGTATATACATACACGCGTCCGCAACGCGCGATCTAACTATCGTGTTCCTCTCTCGCATATAAACTCTTTCCTATCTATCTATCTATCTTCTCTTCACTTCCCGCGGTTGAATCGCGAGAAGACGTAATCGCGTGAGAACAACAAACCAACAAATTTATTTACGCACGTGTTCCACAAACGTATCTCTCTTATATACGCTGTTTCTTGTTTTTTTTTTTTAATATATTATATACAAAAACTTAGAGCTACATAGGATACACTTGCACTCGCGCGCGTCACGTGTTTTCTTTTAGGGGGGTGGGGGGTGTCTCAATAAGTTAAAAATTTTTTTACTCTAAAGTTACCAGTACATATATTTAACATGCACCCCGAGCGCGCCGGGCAGCCTTCTCTTTGTTGTATATGTATACGCGCGACGTCTTTCATCAGTCTGAACATGCGCGAGACGAGCGATGCGTGTGCGTTTTGACTGCGACTTGAGGGGAGGCTCGAATATTACGCTCGCGCGATAGACGGCGGTGGTTTTCAAGCATCGTACAAAGTGTTGTCGTCCCCGATCTAACGTATATACGAAAGAAAAAATAGTGTAGTAGAAAGATTTGAAAAGAGAGACGTCGCACGAGACGGTTAAAAGCGCCCTTTGCGCACCAACGTGACGCTAAAAATCTCATAGAGACACATCAACCATTCACGTTTTTTATTTCACTATATATATATATATATAACATACAATATATATATTTATATAATATATATAATAGTCAATAATATTTATATATATATATATCTTTTTTGTTTAAAAGATATATTTTTTTATATCTATATACAGAGAGATAATAATGTTGTATTTCGGTGATTTTTTTTTTTTGTTACGAATCCAGTATAACACTAGGTTTGCTAAGTAATATTCTTGGACCTCAGTGTGTGTATGTGTGTGTATGTGTATTTTTTATAATAACCAGCACCTCTTGCGTTGTTGCACCCTCAGCTTCGCGAAAGATCGAAAGGGCCAAAACTTTTCTCTCTCCCTTTCCTCGCTTATACTTAAAAAAATATAATGTGTGTATACCCCTTTCCCCCTGAGCTCTTGCGCTCCGTTGAAACAATTTCTAGAGACACTTCTCAATTTTTTTTTCCGCGCTCGTTTTACTTTACTCGTCTCCTCCCCTTTCCTCTCGACTCCTTTCACAGCCCTCATTTCGTTTCAGGTTTTTTTCTTTTTTTTTTTTTTGTAAACTTTCCTCCACATATAGTATGTTTTTTTTTTTTTTTTCATTTGCGTGGCACGCGCGCATAACAATTTTCTTAGGTAACATATATAATATATATATATATATATATAAACATCTAATATACAATAAATAATTTATCGCTCGCTTTTAAATGTACAATTTTTCGTTTTCCGATGATTTACAACTAAAGCTGAGCACTCGCCAGGTTGGACCTTCGATTTTTTTTTTTTTTTTTAAATCCTCGGTGTGATTTTCGAAAGCGCAACGTAGCGGCGCAGCTCTGTTTTACACTTAAGTAATTTATCCGACGGTGTACCCCTTTCGGACACACGTTCGAGAGGATTTACGCTCCCGAGATACAAATTCTTTAGTTTTTCTCTTGACATTAAGAACTAAATTTTGTACAAAATTTCGACGAGTCGAGCACCATCGGGCGTGTCGTGTTTTTTTTTTTTTTTTTCTCTCTATCCCGATCCTGCGCGGTACTCGAACACACGAAGAAAGAGACGGACCGCAGGAGGAGGACGAGGTATTGGGGTCGGGACTACCTCCGACGACGTTGTCACTCAGAGCGCCTTAATATTACATTTACATAGATATAATAATACAAGGAACAAAGAAAGAAAGAAAGAATGAAAGAAGGGAACAAATATAACAAAGATAAAGAAGGAGAGAGAGGGGGAGAATAAGGAAGGGGGACAGACAGTCAGGAAGAGAGAGAACGCATTTTACAACGTCTGAGGGGTGTGCCAGGTCGGCGCGTTTCGTCGAGAAGATCCGCTGGATGACGACCTCTCGCACGAATAAAGTCCCGCGACGGGCTCGTGACGCCGTGACATCAGCGACGGCAATGACGTTCGGCAACGTCCGCGCGAAAACGCACTTCGCGCCAGAACACTGCTGCTGTTTGGTCGCATTTCCACGTCCCCCGCGGGACGGATCGGTTCTCATGCGCCCGTGCAGTCGATCTCGACGATGTCCTTCGGCACATCGACGAACTGGTAAACGAGTCGCTGACCGTCCACCTTCGCCAGGATACCGCGCTGATAGTAATAGCGCAAAGCTCTTCCCATCGTCTCGTAGTTCATGTCCGGTTTGTTCTTGTGCAAACCCCAAAGTCGCGAGACCGCTTTGCTGTCGACCAGCTTGAAAACTCCCCTCTCGCGATTCGTCCATTTGATGTAGCGCGGACAATACTCCCGGTCCTGGAGCAACTTTAGCAGGAACTCCCACAGATACGTTGTCGAGCCCTCGCGCGACTTCCGCTTCACAGCGGCGCCGCCCTCGCCCTGCCTAGGCTTCTTCAGTTTGTTCTTCTTGCTGCGCGGCGGGAAGCCGAGCTCGAGCAGATAGAGGTCGTCCGTGACGGAGCTGGTGGCCGCCTGGATCACGCTGGTGGGCACGCCGCCGGGTCCCCGAGGCGGGCTCGGGGTGCAGGGGGTCGCGAACTGGCCGCCTCCGCCGTACATGGAGTTCACATAACTGCTGTAGCTCTCGGATACTGAAAAAAAAAAAAGAAGACAGTGACGGGAGTCGTAATTGCAATAATGACTTTAACTCAATTTTCATAGCAATATGTACATATATATATATGCTTGGAGACACAGAGATTTCATTCGTCGCGGGAAATTCCGTCTCTAAAAAAATAATTCGATGCTCGCAAACACTTCAAAGTAGTTTATAGTATATATGTGATGGGTGTGCATTTCTCTTTAACACCCTCAACTTTATCGTAAAAAAATTATACCGAGACGACCGAAATCCACGATCTATCGCGGAAACGAACGTGTGTTTACAGTCGCTTTGCGGTCGCGCGAATAGATTGTGCGCGCATACATCGATCGCGTCGGTGTGATCGCACGAAGGCGAATATATACACACGATCTGAACTTATGCCGCAAGCATGAGGCGGTGCATTCATGGGCGTAGGAAACGTAAAAGCTGCGAAAGACCATCCTCCTTTTCGAAACGAGAGAGAGGAGAGGATAATTTTTCGCAAATATCACATCTTCGCCGCGGACAGCCGCGGCGATTCCGCTGGAGGAATTCACATCCCGAGAATCAAGTTTTTTTTTTTTGAGAATTCATTTGTGGAAGTGTAATAAGCGAAAGACCTTTCACAGAAACACCACAAGAGCTCGGCTATCGATGCACGTTTGACGATTGTACTCTGAAACTTTACTCCGTTTGAAATTCGAGTTTGTTAGATACCAGGAGAAATTGAATGAAGTTTCGAAATGTGCGCCAACCGGTTTTTAAATAAAAAAAAAAAAAAAAAAAAAGTAGTAATGCAAATCGGATCTTTGATTTTTACATGTTTCTTTCTCCATCGAACACTGATTCGCGAAGAACGGACTAAACAACAAACACTTGATTTATTTGACAAAATTTGTTAACATCGCTTTGTCGGAAACTTTGTGTTTGAATTTTGCGCGAGAGAAAAATCTTCGCAGAAGTAGTTTTGCACGAAACGAATTTACACGCGAAGAAATACCGCAAGTTTCTCAAACATATGTGTGTGTAACTTCGAATTGTACGTATATCGCTACGGTTCACGTCGGTCTCAACGCGCGGTCAACGTAACTTCTCTGTAGTAAAAAAAAAAAAAAGAAAAAAAAAAAACTTTTTATTACGCGCCGGAAGAAAGCGAAAGTTTCTGAAAGCTGTCGCGACCCATAAATCTCGCGCTTTTTTACACATCCCGGCACGAATAATCAGTGTCACCGGGTGACAGCGTCATGGGTGACCTCCGTGCGTGTGTTGGAGGAGAAGAAGAATTTTCTCAACACACAATTTTATATACGCGGCAGCGCGCGCGCGCGCGCGCGCTACATTATAACGCTGAAAGAAAGCAAAAGTTTCGAGGCTGCGCTGCCTCGGCGAAGCGGCAGGAACGTTTTCCTTACGCCACTGGAGAGACTGGGAGAGGAAGAGGAGACGGGCCGAGATAAAGAGACGAAGGAGGAGAAGCGAGAGAGGGTTGAGAGCGCGGAGTTGGAGCACGGCAAGCGGAGCGCGCGGAAGGGCAGAAGAACAGAGAGAGAGAGAAAGCGAGAGGGAACAGGGATGTCGGGGAGGGGGGGAGAAACTCTGTAGTATGATAGAGGACTGACCCGAGCCAAGGTTGCACGAGTGACGCCATCAAGCTACTAGTGCATAATAGCGCCGCCGCTCGTTCTGAGGCCGCCGCGACTGCGCTAAAATCGGAACTCGTTCTCCAGCTCCTCACACGCTCCCTCTCTCTCTCTCTCTCTCCTTTCCCCGTTGCCCCTCTTCCCGCCGTCGCGCGCACATCAACTCTCTCCTGTCTATCCTCTTCTCCCGCGCTCTTCCGTTCGTCTCTCTTGCATCCTTCTCTCGCGTCATGTATTGCGGTTTTGTGGAGTCCCGCGCGTTTGAACAATTCCTCCCGGGCTCTGTTCAAAGTTTTGCGATTTGCAGATAAGAGAAAGAAAGAGATAGAAAAAGAGACAGAAAGAGGAAGATAAGGGTTGGAAAAATCACCCTCGAGCGAAAAGAAAAAGAAAAAGTACAAGCAGTAGATTTGTATAAAATAATGACCTTTGGCGTGACTTTATCGGTATGAGGCTTAAAGAATTTGTGGAAAGATGAGGTGATACGTAAAATATATATATATATATATATATATATATATATATATATATATATATAATCTCGGGTAAAAATAATACGAGGAAATCGCAGCAAACTGTGAGAAAAAAAAAAAAACAGAAGAGAAAAAGAGAGAAAGAGAGACGAGCAAAAAAGACGGAGATGAGAAAAACGGAGAGAAAGAGAGAGTTTGAGAGCGGCAGGAGAGCGGAAGATTTTCGAAGAGTGGCTCTAAAAATATAGAGAACGCACCGTTGTTCTTGGGAAGACCGCGCGTATGCGCGCAAAGAGCGGTAGTAGGCGTACGTAAAAGAGAGAGAAAGAGAGAAAATACACTTACGTATATTATATTTATATATACGCATACGTGTGTGTAAAATATATCAAGAGGAAAAGAAACGGAGAAGCACGAGTGAGAGGAAGGTAGAGTAGAAGACCTCCGGAGAGTGTGCGAGAACAGCTGGAGCGGGTCCGTGTTTACGCGCGGTATGACTAGCTAGATGAGTCAATCGTAGACCCGTTGTCTAGGAGTCGCCGCCGCGGTGGGGAGGGGGGGGGAGGGAGGAGACTGCTCCTACTTCACTGACCTATACCACGAGCGTTGTATAGCGCAGGAAAGCACCGCTATAGACGACGACGACGCATCGCCAGCCGATGAGTCTGGGTCTCTCGCCCGTGCCGCGCGCGCGGACACCGTATAAATTCCTAGAAGCTCAGAGGAGGAGGTCTATGGAGGATCGATATTGAGCGCGCTACTCAAGAATATAGGACGGACACTCGACACTGTCAAAATCGGAAATCTTTTAAACTTGAAGAAACAACAAAGGAGCTGTTCGAGAATGAACAAAATTCGAGCTCTCTTCGAGAAAAAAGATCTTCGGTAGAAAATTTTAAGAGAGTTATCAAATATCGCGCGAATATGAATGAAAATAGGAGGAAAAATGTAAAAATTCAATTCGAAATCTGAAAACACACAGATTTTTGATGTCTTATTGCGTGTGTACGCGTGCCTTTCCTCGTACGTACGATTGTGTGTGAGCGTGTGTGTGCAACATAGTTCACCACGCGCGCTATCAACTATATATCACACGTCAATCCCGTTACATACAAAGCGCGTCGTCGGGTCGGAGTCTCTCTGCCGCCAAAGCGCGGCATCATTGGTCGAATTTAAATTTAAGTTTCGCTCACACACAACTCGACGGGACGCGATGTTCCGCGACAATGAAACCACCACGCACTCTAATGCGTTCTCGAGGTCGTATTAATTTTCTACTTGAGCGACATTCCTCGCTCAGTTCCTGACCGACTCGAAAATGAGGTGGAGGTCGAGAAAAAAAAAAAAAAAAACATTTAACACACACGCACACACAAGTCGATCAGACTTGCTAAACTTTTGTATCAAATTATCACCGAGAATTGTTTATATATATATATAAATTATAAGGTGAAATATCTTTTTAGTGAGTCTCGCGGTGATGATTCCGCGCGCGATTTCCGTTCGGTCGAGAGATCGAACCGCGCGAGAGAATGAATCGAATGAAAAAAGAAGACGAAGATGAAGGGAGAAGAAGCTCGAGAGAGAGTCGCATTTCCTTGTGCGTTCTCGAGCCGCGTTTCTTCCTGACAGTGTCGGCAGGAAGTTTAGTCGAGGGACTCGGTAACGAGTCGATAGTTTAAAAATACACGGAAGGGTAGGCGCGCACTGCGCGCGGCTGCGACGCGGCGCTCGTTTATTTTGCGGAGGATTTCGCGCTAGTCGCCGCACTCACTCTCTCTCTCTCTCTCTCTCTCTCTCTCTCTCTCTCTCTTTCCCGCGGGCCGGAAGTACAAGTATAGCGAGAAGGGCAGCGCAGTGGAGACGGGGAGAGAGAGAGAGAGAGAGGAAGGAAAGTAGAAAAAGAGACGAAACCAGACGAGAAAGAGAGAGAGAGAGAGAGAGAGAAAAAAAAGCGCGATGAGCCGAGAAGCAGCGGGAGGCGGCTTAGCTGACGCGACGGACGGTGGGGATATCCAGGGACGTACGATTCGACGGAACGAAGCGATAAAAAAAGCAGTTACGCTAAAAGCAAACTCTTCGGCGGAAGAGAGAACGAGGAATATCTTAGAGAGCGCGTTCTCTCTCTCTCTCTTTCTCTCTCTCTCACGCGTAGGTCCCGGATAATTGGCTGAGAAGTTGCACGCGAGAGATTTTCGCTTTTCCTTTTCGACAGCTCGCGAAGTCTCGTCTAGGAATTTTAGTCTCTCAACTAAACTTTGATTATTATGTTACAATATATCGCCTTTCTCTGTGCACGACGGTTCTCTCGCCGCTTATTTAAAAAAAAAAAACACTATTAAAGTAGCCTGGACAAGTCCAGAACAGTTGGGACCCTGTGTAAAAATATCCTTGTACTAATAGACTAAACAAAAGATTTCGCAGCTTCTCAAAAATGTAAACTTTCTAGTTTACTCGAAACAATAGTCGCGTTTTGTTCTGATACTCTACGTCTTTCGTGTATAGGATAGTTGATCTTTGACACACCTAAACTTGACCTAAATTTGATAACTGCTAGGAGATATATCACGAAAATCAAAGATAAAGCTAAAGTTTTTGTCATTCTACAGTCAAAGAGTTTCCTTGGTTTTTCGCCTCATCTCTCGACACGATCGTGCTCGCGCGGCGCGGTCGCGTGATGCGAGTTCTCACGTACCAACCAGGATTTCGAGAGGCGGAATTCCGCGTGCATCTAAGTGCACGAGTTACTCGTAGTCAAAGGGGGAAAAAGGAGGAAGGTCGGGAACGGTCGAGGGAAGAGGGTCTGGATGAAAGATACACACTTGGAACAAGTCGAGGGGACAAAGAGAGGGAGGGAGGTAGTGGAGAAGAGAGGGCAGCGTAGGGATATAGGG